TCTCATTACATGCTGTTTGTTTTTTATCCTTAACTGGTATAATCTTCAGTTTGTCCGTTAAACATCTCTGCTCAGAAGAATTCATACTTTTGAACACTGTGGCTTCAGGGTTGTTGAGTCGGCTATGGTTTGTGTGTTCAAAAGTCTGTTTGTTGTCTGTCTGTTTGATGTGCCTGTCAAGGAGAGGGCTTGTAATTAGTCCTTGCTGCTGAGTGAGCTTTATTCAGCTGGGAGGAGGGGAGTCCTGCTATCCTTTTGGACTTGATTCTAGCATCTGAAGAATTGTATAAGTGGAGAGAGACTTCTTACATGCTGTTACAGAAGGCTTTGTTCTTGGTTCATAGCAAATGTTATGTAGCACTTATGAAATCTTGGAGTTAATGCCAGCCTGCCACAAAGGCTAACATCTGGTACTCTGCAGCAGGCATAAGTCCTGCCTCAATCTGAAATGGAAAGGCTGAGATAAAGTTGTTCTATAATATTGCTGAGTTTTCCAGGAAAATCAGTGTTCTGGGGTCTCGGTTCGAGGAAGTAACTGCTGTTTGTAGCTGAAGGAGTAACAACATTATGTAAAGAACTTGGTAAAACATTCTTTGGCACAAGAAATCTGTCTCCCCAGTAAACACCAGGTAGGCGATTGTATGGCATCAATGCTCATACCATTGTCCCAAGGTGGTACAAGTTGCTTTTGGGGAAGACCTCATGTCAAATGATTTGGCTGTGACCTGACTAGCTGATAAGTTCCAGGTGTGCAACTCAGCAAAGCTCTAGGGAAGCAGAAGGGTTCCTGATCAGGAATTTATGAGTCAAGTCATTCCTGCTTTCTGCTCTTGAGCTGTTCATTAATGGTCAGGCTAACATTAAGGAAGTGTGGTGATGGGACCACAAGAAGATAAACTTGTATTGACAGGAAGTAGGGAAAGGGCAGCTTGGAATCTCTTCCATCAGCTCTCTGCTTGAGCTGAAGGTAGTTGTTCAGTGAACACAAGGTTTTGCTAGAGCAGACTCCATACCTTTCTGTCTTTTCAGGATTCAGTACAGGTGTGTGTTGCAGAGCCTTGTGTCCTTGTATGGCATGTTATCAACATCGCTTCATCTGGTATCTGAGACCCAACAGATGCCTTACATCAGGGGTTTTACCTTCCCATCTGATATCTATAACTTCCTTGGAGTTAATGTTTCTTCTGAGATGAAGAAGCAAAAGGCTAGAATGCTTACAACAAAGAAATCTACCAGCTGGATGAAGAAGTTCTTCCCAACAATGCCAGAGGCAGTGTCAGACGTTGGGAAAAAGAGAAGTTCTGCAACCTGCAGGAGTGCTGTGAAAAACTGTAGCATCCCATGCCTCACGGACATTGGACAGCCAGTTCTGGTGACTGGAGCCAGCAGAGGTAAAGCCTTGTGCCACAGTGCTACTGGTTTCTGACATCTCAGAGACTGACCCCAACTTCTGTCCAACAGAGCCAAGCACTCCTACTATGCACAGAGTGCAGTTCTAGTACAAACTCTCCTCTGCTGTCCTTGGAAGAGGAGGAGAATGCTGCATGAACTCTCACCTTATAAAGCTGTGGATAATGTCAGTATTGTGATGTTTTGGCCTTTTGTTTTTATTAAACATGATACATTGTTTCATAGCAATGCTTGCAGAGAAGCAGGTAATGAATGCAGTATACTGGTCTTGTAAATATTTATTTGTATTTTCCTGCTTCTGCATAGCTGGGGCCCAAGAATAGTGAGGGAAGCTAAGAACACTGTCTGCAGTTCATACAAGAGTAGATAAAGCTGTAAATACAGGATGCAGGTATCCTGTACTTACTGCTTCTGGGCTGTGCCCAAGTCTTCTCCTTCAGTCAGGGCTGTGGGCAGTGACTCCAGGCATTCAGGTGTTTGCATGGAACTTTTGCCCATTAAGTTCTCCTTTGCCACCGTCTGTAAATCTTTGCATCCTCTTCATCCATTGAGTGTAGTCCCATTGAAGTGCTGAGTGCAGGTGTGAGGCTGCTAAGGTGGCAGTAGATCTGAGAGCTCAACAGGTCTGAGAGCATTGCAGTGTCTGTGCAAAGTCTTAAAATGGTCTTCACTTTCTGATGGGAACTTTCCCCTTTCTTTGTAGGGAAGCACCTGGGGCTTCATGTGAAGAGCTTACTTAGACCATCCAGACCTCCAGCACGAGAGGTTTGTATGGTACCATTTTATGCTTTTTAACTTTAAAGACCCTAATTATATCCCTGATTGAAAATGTCCCTTTTCCTGCCTTATTTTTGCTTGTTCAACAAGCCAGGTCAGCATGGAAGCTTTGCACTGAATATCACTACTAATTTCTGCTTAGGAGCTTGAGCATTTGTTGGTATGTCAAGTGAAATGACCAGAGAGCAAGCCAGTAGTAGACAGCAATACAAATTCTTGTTATCTGCCTCTTGTTGTATTCCACAAAACAAGACTGCTCTTCCACTTTCTCCTTAGGAAGTAAGGAATGTTCTCTCAAAAACCTTGGTGCTCTGCTCCTCTCCAGCAGAGAGGGTCAGGCATGTCATGTTTTTAGAAGACTTAACTATTTCTGTTACTCTTTATTTCAGAGTATAAGCATCGCATCAACACCTTTCAAAGCAAAGTCGGCATCACCTTCCTCTCGTATAGCAAAACTGGAGCATGCTGGGTTTCTTGTACAGATGGTCCAAAGAGCTACATCGTTTGGTGAACTGTCAGAGGCACTCAAAAAAGTTATTCTGTGGTGCAAAGGCAACAAATTCAAACCAGAAGCTTATTTTCTGCGTAACAAGTTGTTGAAAAGCACCCGGCTGCACCATGTGGAGGCTCAAGGATGCAGGTAATTTTACATGGGTGTGGGGCTTCTGGGTCTGACATTTTACATTTTAATATTATGTATTTTGCTACAGCGTAGGGAAATACAGTGGTCTAACCCATTCTTTGTAAATTCTAACGGGATCACTCGTTCAGGTTACTGCATGCTCGGACATGAACATTGTGTTTAGCTTCAGTCCTTTGTGAAAGGATTTAAAGGCTACCAGGTGCACCAATACTTAAGAGCGAGGATGAAAATGCAACTTAAATTGTTACCATTAAACGTGCATGTTTAATGATCACGATATGATACAGGGGGTGTCATCTTTCTTCATGGAAGATGAAGACAAGGAGCATTCACCCTGGCTACTATTGTACAAGAGTACAACAAGGTGCTATCATATCTTCTTGGGAAAATGGTAGAGAAGGCTAATAAACCAAATCTCTCCAAACCCCAAATGAAGTAATATTTGAGCAGCTGATAAAGTTATGATTTGTGTGCCTTCCTCCCGTTAAGCTTGAAGAAAAAACTGTGCTGTGTCAAAACATCTGTCTGTAAATACCTCCTGTATGGGTCACAGAAGGCATGCTGGCTAAAGCAGCACCTGCGGGCACGGTTCTGTCAAAGGAGGTTCAAATCATCCGCACGTTTGAAGAGAACTCTGAAGACTGTTTGGCAAAAAACTCCTGAGCTTGCTGGAGTCTGTGATCACAGTGCATCACCCATTCTCCCAGCTTACCAGGATGGGCCTTGGAGCCAGGCACGACGTTCCAGTGCCGACAGAGGCTGTGTCAAACTAAGCACAGCAGAGACCCCTAAGCGGCTGCTGCTAGAAGGAAGCCCTGGCCCTGTGTGGAAAGAAGCTACTGAGAATATGGATATTGATTCTATTTTTGCAGCAATAGGTGTCTGATGCTGGGTATGCAAGGAAGAAAAGGGTCAAGTCATTCCAATTATGTATATAATTTTTTTTTTAAGTAAAACAATCAGAATCCTAATGGTGTCTTGGTAACTCACACTCTGAATTCTGCTAAGGAAATGGCAACTGGTTTATTAGAGTTTTGTAAAACAGCTGTTGTTTGGGTTTGTGTTTTTTTTGTTTTTTTTTTTGTTTATTTGGTTTGTTTTTTTTTGAAGGGTGTACCAAAAAAATGAATAATCTTCATCCTTTCATTTAGCCTTGTCCTGGAACAGAGAGTTTGTTATCCTTACTCAGTATGCCTTCTCTGTTCAACCACATGTTAAGTGCTGCTGTGAAACCCACAGCACAATTAATTACTATCCATGGCAGAAGTTTGTGGCTGATCACTTCCTGCTGCTTAGGACAAAAGACTTGTTGCCAGTTTTCCAATGAAGCAGTCTTACACCCTTCCTTCTGTGCTGCTTGTTTAAGGAACAGCCCTGATTTGCAGTATTATTGTTGTTCAATATTGTCCTTTTCCTGAGACAAGGCATTAACTGAACCTGACTCTGAGCTGCTCCAGAAACAGGCTTTCCCCTGCACAGCCATGTGCCATGGCCTGCAGCAATAAACTCCTGACTAGTGCATGTGTTCCTGAAATCTTTTAAGTGCAATTTCTGCCTGCTTGGCAATGTAAGGCACAGCTACTCTGACGTGTATTATGAAATAATGTTAGAACAAGCAATGGCGTTGATGCTTTGTGCCAGGCTCTTGTAACTAGGTCCTAAGATCAGGATCACCAGGATATACTAAGAAAAAATTGTTCCCAAATGCAGACTAGAAATCTGCTTTGTTGTAGAGCACCTGTCTAACAGTGGTAAGGAAAAGCTGTAAGTGAAGTCAACCTATTCCAGAGCTATTTGCCATTTTCTAGGCTTAATATTGGTAGAAAACAAAAGAGCTATGCCAACTGGGACAGAAGAAAAAAATAACCTTCCCAGCCAAGGAAGTGATAAAAGCCCCTGTATTACAGACCTTGTGTGAACTGATCAATTCAGTTATGAGAACTGGGGACAAACTTAAAATGTTTTATTCAAAGAGCATGTACAGAGCAAAGAGCAGAATTCCTATAGCAGATTGGGCTTGAAGGCAAGTTGTCTCATTAACTGAGATCCATTTTTTAGGTTTCCTGTCACAGGAATACCCAGCAGTAACTGAAACAGTTGTAGAGAATCATACATAATTAGCCCTTTAGATATCTGATTCAACACAGTTCTACTTTGGACTTTCTGCTACTGCTCTTTTCTCAATTCATAGACCAATACAAAAATACCCAAGTATACCACATAGACAACATCCAGCTGCTTGAATACTTCTCAGAAAAGGCTGGGAGTGAGGGCAGACATTCCAGCAGTGACCTCCATTCTGAATAGTTCCTCCAAACAACATGCATGATGTTCCTTCCTTTTGGGCAGCAAGTGCCCAAATAATGCCTCAGTGCAACTTGTGCACAGAATCAGGATCCATAGTTTGCTTCATCAAAGGCCTTTCTGGCTCGTTTCAGTTCTTCATTCATAGTTAGGAGGTCTTTAACTCTGGCAAACTTCCGAGGGTCCTTGCGTATCAGAAAGACAATGTCCTCAACCTGTACACGACCCTGCCGTCCAATTGACATGGCCTTGTGTGTCTGTTAGAGGAAACAAGGAAAGTCAACACAGTTCCTTTGCTCCTTAATTATTTTTTAAGCTCTCAATTCCACTTTATTTCTTGCCACTTTATAATCAAAAAGTAAGCAACTGCAGGATCTGGGCACCATCATAGTCTCAAGAGAACTTCCCAGTATACCATGGACTTACTGTTGCTCTGCTGTCCCTGTCTGCCTATCATTTATACCCAGCACATACCACTTGTCGTGGTTTAAACCCAGTCAGGTAACTTGTTCACTCACTCCCAGTGAGTGGTGCCGAGCTGACAACAATCAAGGTCCGTGTCCGTCTTCCCCCCCCCCTGCACCGGGGCTCTCCCCTTCCCCGCTCCCGGAGGAACGGGGAGGAGGATCGAGAGAGTGCAACTCCTACGGGTTGAGACAAGAACAGTCCAGCAACAAATCACCACCGCTACTATCAGCTAAAACAATGATAAGGGAAAATAACAAAGGAAGAGAATACGATACCACCGGCCAAGAAAGCGAGTTCCACCCAGAAGCTCCTGTCCTTCCGGGTAACTCCCAGTTACCCCCCACCCCGGGCATGACGTGCTGTGGTATGGAATACCTCCCCGGCTAGCCCGGGTCAGGCGCCCCGTCTCTGCTTCCTCACAGCTTCCCCTCCTCCCTGGCAGAGCATGAGCCTCACAGAGTCCTTGGTCAGGGTAAACATCATTTAGCAACAACCGAAAACATCGGCTTCACCAACACTGTTCTCAAACTAGAAGTCAAAACACAGCACTGCACCAGCCAACACAAAGGAAAAAACATGACTGCTACTGCTGAACCCAGGACACCACTATATAGATGTAACAGTAACAGCATCAAAACTGAAGTCAGATTATATGTAGGACTCCCAGCCTGCAGAGTGCTTGAAGGTGAACAGCAGCAGGTAGAACATGGAGGCAATGTGAGGTAACTGTCACAGGACAGTTTAGGGCATTTTGATGTGGGGAAAGCAAGACCAATCTTTCAAGGAAAAGGGATCTGCAAACAGTCGGAATAACTGGTGTGGTTTTGTTTTTTAAACAAACTTTCAAACAGTATCTAATTATCTGGGACAGCAACAACTTCAAGGCCCACCTGCATTTCTTTTGTAGTGCAGAGCTACAATCCTGTCCATGTAAAGACATCGGAAGAACACAAAAAGTCAGACTTTCAAAGCTGAGCCTTCTCTTTTGTCAGCTGCATATACAGTGATGTCACAGCAAACCCCAAAGTCAGTTGTGTATTTCCCCCCTCCCACCCAATACTGAGCTTAAGGACTCCAGGCACCATTTTAAATCCACATAGAGCAAGATGCATGGATTTTGATTTAATCTTGGCAGAGCAAGGTTTAGGTTTAGCTTTTTCCTACTAACATCAGAGTTTTGGGCCTGGGATAATGCAATATTTGAGTCAGAGGTATTAACCCCTTTGTTGAGAATGTTTTGACAATGCTGTCTAGAGCTGACTTACCATTTCTGTGATAAACTCTATTACCAGGTCCTCAAGAATGTCCACTGACTCTGTGTAAGGGTTCTGGTCATCCCCGAATCCATACATCATGCATCTTACTGCAGAAAGAAACACTCAGCATGAGGCTTCTTTCATCCATTTCAGCTGCATGCATCTAGTTAGAGCCCACACATATGTAGAGGATGGCACTTGTCTGTTGGGCCAGATGATTCTTGAACAAACATACAGGAAATAAGCAGACAGACAGAAGGCAACAAAACCCCAGTGCTGTATATACATAAGCATGGACAATGATAACCTTTAAATATGGATTTATCCTACCAGGTACTGACAGTGTGACTGACCGCTAGCACACTTAGGTTCACAGAATGAATTAGCAATGTTTTTTAGGGGGCCTACACAACAGCTTTGTGCACTTTCAGCCAGGGCACAGAATGGAAGTCGAAGTTTTGTTAAGTAAAATAAGCCTGTAACTCCACAGCTACCTCCTCAGTGTTTCAGCTGTGTTTAGGGGAAGGGCATTGTCCTTAAACCAATGCTGCAGTAAGTTCCGCAGCAAGAGACCCGTCAGCGCGGCGCTGGGCTTTCTGGCCGGGCTCTACTCACGTTCTTTGGAGAACAGCCTCTTCCTCTTGCCTTGTCCACCATCCAAGCCGCATCCAGCTTCTTCCGCGTCTTCTTCAAACTAGACGAGCATAGCGGAGGAGAGACGGCCATCAGCGTTCGGTGCGGCGGGCCCCCTTCCCTCCTCTCCCCTCTCCTCACATCTGGGATGTGACCAAAAGGCTCCAGCCCAGCAGGAAGAAGAAGCACACAACCCCTTCCCATCACTCACCGGCGCGTCCTCCTCTTCATCAGCCATGCTGCCAGACCGCGCAGGGCGCTTCCGGGCGGCCGGAAGGGCTTCCGCTTCTCTAGTCCCGCCCCCGTGGGGGAGGCTCCGCCCGCGGCGGCCGTCGGTACCCCAGCGGGGGGCGGTGGGTACCTGAGTGCGTGGCCGCTGCAAGCACCACCCTGGCGGCGGTTCTGCTTCCAAGGTCGGTGTCGTTCCCGCTGCTTTGGTGTCAGAAGGACTTTAACGTTGTGAGTTTTCTTCAGGAGGAAGAAAGCCCCTGTAAAGTTTTAATTCCCTTTTGCAGGTGTAGACCTTGCTTCTTGTTTTAGTTCTCTAGCTACAGCAACTACCTATGTACCCACCTCCCAGTGCAGGCAAACGCTTGCCTTGCTTGAGAAACGGTTTGATGCATGCAAAGAAACACGGGGGTAGGACCAGAGAGCTCTCTCTCCCTGGCTGGGGTGCTGCTGCCTCTGGCACCAGCCTGTGTCAGTATAAGGACTCCAGAGAGCTCGCTGACCCAGCACACACAGCTTGGGGTTGGGCTGTACAGGCACTTGCCTTGGCCCAGAAAGGGGTGATTTGGGGACTGCAGGGAGAAGCTGGAGTATGGACTGTTTATCTTGAATCAATCACTATTGCTACGGACTGTATAACTAACTGTAAAGCAAATAGCTTTGCCCGCAATGCAAAGATGAGCATGCTTAAGCCTGTAAAATCCTATTCCTGCAGAAGCAGGGATGCTATGAGCATCGTTTTCTTCTTGTAATTTCTTTAATTTACAAAAAAGTTGTATTTTTCCAGATTTGAATTGTGGCACAAACTAATTACTCTGAGATTGATTTGGCAACCCTATCCAAATCTGTATATGATACCCATTACTAGGATGTCAGATGAGGATAATGTGGTTTGAAATGGACCTCGTGAGGTGTCTGGTACAGAAACTTCTTGGAGTTACTCAAAAAGGGTGAAACGTCCATCCACTTTCTTACCCTGGTAGTCTGTGACGTGTTCTCACCACGCAGTCACGTTTACTGCATCTCCTCTCATCCCAAAGCTTGTGAAGAAGGTACATTTATCATTGTAACAGGTAATTACAGAACAGCTAATGAGATCAACTTCCTCTTTGCCTTTCATTGGGAGTTGATTTGTGACTTAAGGCTGACTGTTCCTATGCACTTACATACTAAACATAAATGTGTGTGTTCTGCAAATATGAAAACCAGTGGATGTGCTGTATGAAAGCTCAAAGTAAATTTCAGTTTGCATCTTCCATTTTTGGAGAAATAGCAGCAGTGTCACACAGAAGTCAGTGGGCCTGTTACTTTGGGGTTTTTCGCTGGTACTAAGAAGCTGAAAGACGGTACACTGCTTTGTGACAGGGTCTTATGGAAAGAGGATCCCAAATGAACTCCTGGAATTTCCCTTTCAGATCCTTTGTGACTTGGGAGACAACACACTTTTGCTGATGCCCAGGTCTGTTGAAGAGAAACTGAAGATGAAACTTAACAATATTAAGGTAAGATACTGGTGCCTGCCCTGTCAGGCTCCATACAAATAAACGTCCTTGTAATCTGCATGAATTATAAATACTGAAGACTTTATAGCTCTTAGACCATTAAAAAACAAAAAGAGGTGAAAGGTGAAAGTAAACTTGTAGGGGTTTTATTCCTCTTCTGATCTTTCTTATAAATGCCATGGTTTTAAATACAGGCTAAGTAAATATAGATACAAAGGGAGAAAACTGCAAGCCGTTTTAGTGCTTGAATGTAGCACCAATATGGCTTAGACAAGACAGAAGACTGGGCTTTAATTTTCTCTCTATTGTTTTTAGCATGAGTTGGGGTAAGTTCCTCCTCCTTGCTTGATTAAGTGATTATGGAACATGTAATCATGCTTGGCAGGTATTGTTTCATATTTTATTTTTTCCATCACAAGTTTCTAGAATTTCTGAAATCTTTTGTAATTGGGGCCGAATAACATATTTTTTCAGATGAAACAGAATCTCTAAACATCAGTGCAGCATCTTTTATCATGTCCAGGCACAAAGGCAGCTGTGGTTCTGATGTCCTGCTGAATCTACACGGATCTTGATTCGATCTTGTTTTGCCCTGTTAAATACTACTTCTGAACTGTACAATAGCTTACATCCTTCATAAATTGTTGTGAGCAGTTAATGCTGATGCTTGAGAAACACAAGTTTCTTGTGTCTTTGTGAGGTTTTGGTTTGAGAAAAAACTTCCTCTTAATTTTTCCTTATAAAGAAAAATCCATTATGTCTCCAGTAGGAGGCTTACTCTCCTAGTGTAATAAACGCCTTGTTCACACAGGGCAACATTTTTTCTCTAGGAAGCTGAAGAAGGGAAACGTGCAGCCGAGATGCAAACATTGGAGAAACAAGAACATACTGGAGAGCAGTCAGAGTCTTGATGAAGCAGTGAAGGATCCCAAGGAATGAAATCAAAGTGAGTACAGTGCCTTCTGGTGTCTGTCTCAGCAGCCTTCCCTACACACCATCTTCTGTGCTTGCATCAGGAGTGAGAGCAACAGTCTCATCACAAAAGATCGAGTGGAGGAGAACTTCCTGGAGAACAGCATTAGCAAAAAGAGTACTAAAATTTATTCCCTGCCCCACAAACCCCCTTACTGCTTGGCATACTATGTTCTCCATCATTCTCAATGTTTTTCAAAGAAAATACTGGTTCATGTAGCTACATCTGTGCAAGTGGTGGATTTATTGTATTGTATAAACTTTGTAAATGTGTCACAAGCGCACAAATGCCACTGCAGGTTACTAGAATACAGAAATGTGAGCTACCTTTCCTGAAAAAATATCTGCTGTGTATTTACATAAACACTTGATGGGTCTCAGTAATTACCTTATTGAGCAAACCAGTTTTCTGTGGTTATATATGAAATGCGTAAAAGCAGACTAATTATATCTGAAGTAATTAGAGATCCAGTATTCAAGAAGTGTTTGGACAGTGTTAAATTAGTGTTAAAATAAAGCTGTGCTTACGGGCTTAGTGCTGCAGGTATTTCTTAGGAGCAGATCAAATTGCAGTTACCACAGCCAGTATTAATATCATTTATACAGCTGAGGAAAGGATGCCTGCTTTCCTCTTCATTGGTGGTGCCAATTGGCTGTAAATGCATCGGATGAGAAGAAAAGCTACAGGGCTGGTTATAGTATATTGCAGAGAAGGTGGCTTCTCATCTAGAGGGCTGTAGAGGTAAGTCACACCTTGTAATTTATTCACTAGTCATTTTTATTTTGGGATGTAATATAAGGTCAGTTTGCCTTTTCTTACTTCTGTTCCTTTCGTCATAGTATGCCCAGTTTGTAGGATGGGGAAAACCCACAACTTACTTCTCCCTCCTTTCACTCTTCTGTGAATGGGTTCTGGTCCTATTTTGTTTCCACAACACTTAAGCAGGAGAATGCTGTAAGATGCATAAATAGAATTATTGACATAGTACCTGGTCAAGGTCCCTACTAAAATGCATTCTATGCTATAGCGACTGTTGCAAAAATACCAGCTTTGTAGTGTCAGGGTTATAGTAACAGACTACACCACACCCCAGGGGAAGAAAGACGAGAAAGTACTGCTGAAAGAGCAGAAAAGATGCACAAAGTGAAATCCTTTTCCACAGAAGCTAGTACTCGACATCATTTCTGTAAGTAACAGATGCAGAAGAGGCAAAGCTTTACAAGGCAATGCTGGGTGCCTGCAGTGTGGTGTATACACCACAAACAAGACATCAAAAGCTTTTAAAACTGAAATGATCTCCACTGCTTCAGTACACTGCCAGGCCCATCACTGATCAGTGAGGGGGGAAGAAAGGGGCACCGATTTCCGAGTGTAATCAACTGTGGTGTTCCCTCCTGCAGACGGCTGAGCAAAATGTGAGTGATTCCAGTGTTTGAATCGCTTGTAAATGAAGATTTTTGACCAACACAGCAGAAAACTGAGATGTGTCTAGAGGTAAAGCTGGTTCTTCATGATAAGGTTGTACCTACTGTTTCTAGTACAGCAGTAGCAAAATACATGACCTAGCTCTGCATGGCTTCCACTAAGGAGACACCTCAAGGCAAGGGTCATGGGGTCCAGTTCACAGTCTGCTGCCATTTCAAAGCATTTTTAATATAAATAGATTTACCAGCCACATCTACTGTATTAAAGTGACTAATAAAAGATTTCCTAGCACTTTAAGGGGTTTTGTTTAGAAGAGGGACTAAAAACGAACTAACCTTCTTTTAGATATACAGGCTTATCTTCAGAGGCTCTTCAGTCAAGGCTGAGATCTTGGCAAGATTTATGGTCATTTTAAGATACTAAGAAAAGATTATTCCCAAAGTATTGCCCTGCATGTGTTCATATGTTAAGATACTACTGCACTTCCCCCTAGGATAAAGCATCCCATTGGCTCATTTGTTCTGGAGCATTTTGGTATTAGAGGTAAAATATTACGAGAGTCACAGGTTTGATCGCTGCTAAGACGTGGAAGCTAGAGATCCAATTGACCTATTGACAGCACAATGCAGAAGAGTTACAAAAATAAGATACATGAGAACTCCTAAACACACCTTGAACAGAGAACGTGGCTGTTTCTACTCAAGGTCACCTTAAAGCAGGCAGGTTGCATAGGGGCTGTGGTTTAGCCCCTGCTACATAAACAGAGAAGCAAACCTGTCATTCAATTCAACTTGGCAAGTATAGTTTGCTTAATGTTAGAGCTATAGTTTTTCTTCTCTAGACTAAATGCCTTTTTATGAATGGGATTACTAGACTATCATCTCTCACATCTTAAACACAGTAGAGCTTAGGCATGCAGTGGTAGCTCTTTGAACATTTTGGTGGAAGGAGAGGAAACGATGCATTTAAACCCTAGCTTCTCTTTAGAGGTTCTCTTTCCCTTTTTCTCTTTGGCACAGTCCCAGAGGTTTTATAAAACAGTTTTGTAATAACCTGGATAAATTCATAGTGCAAACTTCCTGAACCGATGAGTTTCTTAAAGAAAAACTTTAGCCTTATAAATATTTATTTATCAAAAAATGAAGCCTAGTACCTTGGGTTATTTACAACAATCCAGATT